TGTAATATCGCTGCTCGAATCCCGCACGCAATTCCTGAAACGATGAGGTTGCAAACGATTTTTTTAAAGTTTGGTTTCCAAAGGGGCACCTTTCCTTTGAATATTTTGATCCGAGTCTCATCAAAGGCGCTGTCTTCTAAACCCCTAAAGTTAATGTTCTAGATCTCCTTGCACTTAATCACAATGATCACTATAAGAAAAGTGATTAGCTAACATAGACCAATAGTATATAGTAATAGTCACAAATGCAGGAAACAATTCAAAATTTCAGTTATTGATGCAATAATATTATGTTCATATTGCGAAATATTATCAAATTTTGTTAAATTGATCATTTTGGCAGCCACCTTAGATTTATAATAAAATCCAATCGTTAACGTATAACTTAGTAAACGAAATTCATAGAATGATAACACTTTTTTACTGAATAAAATCAGTATGAGATTTGGCATATCTTTAATATGACTTGATCATGTCAGATTTACAGTAGTAAAAATGTCATAACTGCTAGAAAACGTGCATCCGGAGGTCATCTCACTTTTCAATATGTTTAGAATCGAGAGTAATTCCCCTCTCGATCAATCCTACATTGTTAGAATTTAATCGTTTGTGTTATTTTAATTGAGTCGAGAATAATGGCGCGAGAGACGATCTCGTCGGGGTCATTGATTTTGAGAAGTTTTAAGAAGGCACTAAAGACCGACAATTTCAGTCTTGCTATTCGTCGGTCCTTGGACTTTAGTACTGTGGGCCATCTGTCTCGCGGGCCCTTGATCAACTGGGCTGTAGCCCGATAGCCCTTTCTGGAAAATGATTTTGTTTAAATAATTTTGCATGTTTCTAGTTTTACAACAATTTTGAACGATGTTTATCTTCAATAATCTTTAATAATTGTTGATACAACAAAGCTCACATGTGACTGTGGCGTCACAAAACAATCTTTATTTGAATTGCATAGCTTTTCGTCTTTAAATCGTCGTGAGACATTATCTTGGCCAGTACCAGAAAATGCCATTCTAATCTTAAGGTGTAACATTATGTTTACTTATAGATTACCTTATGGAATTCTTTTATTTTCTTAATTATTCAAATCATATCAAAGTCTGAAAACGATTGAATGTTTGAATTGGCCGTTGTTGATCTTCCTGCATCCATGTTACCAGCCTGAGGGAGATGACCACAATCTATATGATAATCAAAATATGTTAGCAAATGTTACAGGCTTTCATCTCTGTTTATCGGCACATTCACATTTAAAACTACCTCGTACCCTAACGTGAAAAAGCTGATAATTTTCTCTCCCCCATATTCATATGTCTTCCAGGCGCTGTTCTAGAAGAGGGGGGGGGGGGGAATCGAAGGAGAGAGTGGATTTTTGCATTCATTTTCTACACGTAGCTCGCTCAAATGTATTATAATAAATATTGTTTGCAGAAAGGGCTTACCCCCCAAAAAAAAAAAAAAAAACAAACAAACAAACAAAAACAAAAACAAAACAAAAAACTCCACAGAGCCGCTAGTGATATCTACCCGATCAATTCAACGGTCAAAGTCTTTCAAAATTCTTTTATTTAATAAGTCAGTGGCTTTCAAAATCATGAATTTTATTTGTTTAGGTGACACGTAATTTTTAGCTGAGGTTTGCATTCTAAAGTAAATTGAAACGGGAATTATACATGCTTTTTCTCTTATGTGGTTGGTAAAGAATAAATTGGCGTTGACTGCAAAGAAATGCGAGTTTTTGTTGGTAGGGAGTAAAAATCGAATTAGAAAGATAGATGTGCCTGATGTTTGTATAGGAACAAATGTAATCAAGAGAGTAACGCAAATAAGACACCTTGGAATCTCAATCGATGAATACCTTGAGCAGATAAGCTTAAACAAAACGTAGGGAAAAGTCTGTATTTACTTAAAATGAATTCGTCCATGTATATCACAACAGTCAGCATTGGTATTTTATAAGAGCCTAATACAAAGCAAATTTGATTATTGTGATGTAATATGGGGAAACTTAGGAAAGTTATAATAAACTCTATCTCTCTCTCTGTCTCTGTTATGCCTCTTGTTCGCAATCTGTGCAATATGCTGTGCAATTACACTAGCTGCCTATTCAATATAGTTACAATCAATGTTTGACAGTTTGCTAATTCGCTTGTTTTTCTCGATCTATTCTATCATGCGGTTTATTCGTTTTGATATAAATCATTTTTTGATTTTTAATTTTAATTTCCTAATTTTAATTTAATTTCATATTTGTATTTACTAATTATCATATTATGTTATTTATCACGCTCGTTACATTTATTTTCATTGTATTTTATTCAATTGATTTTAAATCCGTTCTTCTTCTACGGTTGTTATTTTTTAATTTGTATTGCGTCTCATTTTGTATTGTATATATTAATCCGTTTTAGAATGCAAAATAAAAACACACAATTCAACTAAAATAATATGAAGCGATAATACTTTATTCATCAGTTTTCAAATACATCAAATAGATTGTTTTTTTATAAGAGACGTGACATTTATACCAAGGCCTATGCCCTTTCGGGAAATCCTATTATCGAAGTTGATAGATTTCCCCCACTATTGTCAGTTGGTGGTGTTGTATTTTGAATTTTAGAGTTATTGATTTTATGATTGGTTTGAGGCTTTAGGGGTGGATTTTATAAAGCCTTCAAAACCTGTAAGTAAAAACAAAAACCTATCTCACTGAATGATTGATTGGGATTTTATTTAAACCCTCCCCCTATATATGAAGAACTTATTTGATATTTGTGCTATGTTTCTTTCCCTGTTCTTTTTTTGAAATGATTAGATGAATTACGCAAGCTCCTATATTACTGCCCATCAATAAATCGTATCCTGCATTTGACAGTAGGATAATAATTAATGGATCCCCCCTTATTGTCCCGTGACCCCCTTTTTCTGCCAGTATTAATACTCAGCCATGAAAAAGCCATGGGAAAACTAAAACGGTTCATCAAATTCAGCCATGAAGAAATCTTTCAAACAGAAATGATGTAAATATCACGTTGAAGTGGATTACGAAACGTAGGATGGCAAACACTGTTCTTAAAACTATTCCGAATATTTTATTTCATCAGGTTATATGAATGACACCTCTGCTAAAGCTCTCGTGAGGAAATTGAAATTAGAATATGGCGATGTCTCTGTACGACCCCTGCGTGACCACAGAGAACCAATACAAGTCGGCATGCGAATGCTTTTATATGAACTCATCGAATTTGTGAGTATACATGTATAATGATTTGAGTCTACAAATTACGTTTTTCAAATCCTTTCGCCAAACTGCATTATCATTCTTTACCTGTCAGTCAACTTCCGTCCCTTTTTATTTAATTTTCACCGTGTGTTTTTTCTGTTTATTATATTTGAAATAACTTTTGGTATTTCTATCATATTGACATTTCTACCATTTCCTCTATTACCTTTCCCCAACAATGCCCTTTCCCCTCTAAATGATACCATTGTCGCCTCTTGGATAATTTTTCTTTCCTGTTTTACCTCTTTAAAACAAATGACTCTTTTTAGATCTCATTGGCTTTTGAAAGATATCAATACAATGCTTATGTCATGCGAAAGCGCCATCAAAATTAACATTAATCCTGCAAATAGCTGATAGTTTTAAATCAATATTTAAAAATACGTTATATAAAAGGGATATGCAATGAATATCACGACACAGAATGATGAAAAAGAATTTAAAAAGCGTGCCATATTATAGCTTGGTACGAAAACCATATGGTGACTGTTATATACCCATATGAAAAATAAATATATACATTTTGTATGGGTCTGCAATTGGTAACTAAGTAAACTTATCATGAGAATGTAGTATTAATTTGGAAGATTCACATCATGACTTCATATCCAGTTCATGAAAAACAACATCAATTTTTATTTTAATTTTTAATTTTCATTTCCTAATTTTAATTTAATTTCATATTTATATTTGTTAATTATCATATTATGTTATTTATCACGCTCGTTACATTAATTTTCATTGTATTATATTAAATTAGTTTTAAAACCGTTCTTCTTATACTGTTGTAATTGTTTGATTTGAATTGCGTCTCATTTTGTATTGTATATATTAATCCGATTGAGAATGGAAAATAAAACCACACAATTCAACTAAAATAATATGAAGCGATAATAATTTATTCATCAGTTTTCAAATACATCAAATAGATTGTTTTTTTAATAAAAGACGTGACATTTATACCTAGGCCTATGCCCTTTCGGGAAATCCCATTATCGAAGTTGATAGATTTCCCCCACTATTGTCAGTTGGTGGTGTTGTATTTTGAATTTTAGAGTTATTGATTTTATGATTGGTTTGAGGCTTTAGGGGAGAATCTTATAAAGCCTTCAAAACCTGTAAGTGAAAACAAAAATCTATCTCACTGAATGATTGATTGGGATTTTATTTGAACCTCCCCCTATATATGAAGAACTTATTTGATATTTGTGCTATGTTTCTTTCCCTGTTCTTTTTTTTAAATGATTAGATAAATTACGCGAGCTCCTATATTACTGCCCGTCAATATATCCTATCCTGCATTTGACTGTAGCACAATAATTGATAGATTTTCCCCCCATATTGTCCCGTGACCCCCCTTTACTGCCAGTATTAATACTCAGCCATGAAAAAGCCATGATAAAGCTAAAACGGTTCATCAAATTCAGCCATGAAGAAATCTTTCAAACAGAAATGATGTAAATATTACGTTGAAGTGGATTACGAAACGTAGGATGGCAAACACTGTTCTTAAAACTATTTTCATGAACTGGATATGAAGTCATGATGTGAATCTTCCAAATTAATACTACATTCCCATGATAAGTTTACTTAGTTATCAATTGCAGACCCATACTAAATGTATATATTTATTTTTCATATGGCTATATAACAGTTATACTTATATCATATAGTTATTTATCAGATATTTCTTCAACTTTCGTTGCAGAATGAGAATCAACAGAAAATAAAGATCCGCTCTAATATGAGGATGGTAAGTGACAATGTTTAACATTTTAAGTGACAATGTTTAAAATTCTTTTCCTAATGTTATAGAATGTTATGGAATTTGGTAAGTAGATGGGACACATGGTCCAAACTATCCAGATATCCTATTTGCGTTAAGACAAACCGCCAAAAAGAACTAAAACAACCAAAGAAAACAAAACCTTCATGCAGAGCTGGCCCGATGGAGTGGTATGATCACGTGACTGGATAATCAAAAAGTTGTCAAAGTCTGCTTTTTAAAATAGACTTTTTGTTTCGTTTGAAATCTTTTTAAGGTCCTAAAGGCTTTCATTAACAAATTTAAAATAATAATATTGCATATAAATTGTACAGCATCTTGTATGAGAGGAATATCGGTCAATATCAGGTGCAATCTAACATAATTATATTGCCTCTTGACTTTAAATGAGTGCGCTTTATACTCAGAAATGTGTGTGGTGGCAAAGTTGCTCTTATACCATGATGTACAATCTCTTCTATAATTTATGCTATTAATATTTTCGATATACATTAGGTTAGGACCTTGGATTCTGTTGCAACTTTACAAAATACAGTATATTTTGCAATGTTTCATCTTTGCAGAAATGGACAGACGAGTACCTCCAGTGGGATCCCGATGAATGGGATGGCATCTATAACATTACCCTTCATTGCAATGATATCTGGAGACCTGATCTGACTCTCGTACAGAAGTGAGTATGCAGATAAAGACACAATAAAACAGTGCTGTCGACAATTTAAGGATTTCGAGCAAATCAAATTAAAGAAGTAGACACCTGCAGATATTAAGACCCAGAAAAGTAGAGAGAACATTTATGCCTAACTTTCATTTCATACCTGGGTTTTTAGAGCCAGAAGTTCTTAATCTGGGAATCGTATCCCTCATGGATGGTAGTTTGGGTGGTGAATTGCCGTTTGGGTTACAACCAGTTCGTCTACTACCCACTTAGTCAATTTCCATATGTACATCCATCCTACCTACTGTCCACATTGTCTAATACTCATTTAGTCTATTTATCATTTGGTCTAAAGACAATTTAATAGGCTACTAGTCATTTGGTCCAATTTTCATTTGATCTAATATCCAATTAGTCTACTGCCCATTTGGTCTATTGTTTATTTAGTCTAATGACCAGTTAATCTATTTCCCATTTTGTCTAATGCCCCTTCCTAAGGTCTGATAATCATTTGATGATTATTATTATTTGCAATTGAATAATTATAAGACTATACGTATAGTAGATCAAAATGGGCGTTATACAAACTGGGATATAGACTGACTGGAAAAATATCAGCAATAAACTAAATGGGTCATACATAGACTTATCAAAGATTAGACCAAATGGCAACTAGATCAAATGAATATTGGCCTAAATGGTCATTAGACCAAAATAAGTAGACAAAAGTAGATAATTAGACCATATGGATGGTAAACGGGCTGGGTGTAATTATGGGAGTAAACCGATTGGGTAGTAGACAAACTGGTTGAAGACCTAACCACAATAAACCGGTTTCAAGGGGTCCAAAAGGGATCACGCATGACCACAAAAACCCACCAATTTTAAATAATCACGATATCCAACATTAATCAAAAAAGGAAAATATGATAATGTCTGGATGGTTCAAAGCCATTCATCTCACTGGCTTATTAGTGGTAGCCATTTTTCAGTATTATATTTGGGAGGTTTTTCGGGAGGATGGAGGGGTAGTTGGTAGTTGGTTAGTTGTGAGAGGGTAGCAAACAGACCGTGATAGTCTTAGTGGGGTTGTGGGGCCAACCACTTTGTTATTTATAAGTAATTCACACTCTAAAAGCTGTGTCACGAGTAATTGATATATTTATATATAATTCGCAGTCTATGCTTTGTTAAGAACATTAATCTTTATCCACGGCGTTAGTTACTCGTGTTCCAACAACCCATAAACAATTCAAATGTAGGTCTTCTGTTTCGGCATTATGACACAACATTGATGCGTCGTGTCTTGGCAGCACCGTCATTCAGGATTATTTATGCAATAGATGAAATGTGTACCCCTATATAGTAGACCACTATGGCCAGCTTTTGCTGTTAGTCCGTTCCTTTCCCTTAGAGGAATAAATAAATGAATGGATGGAATAAGTGATTCAAGTCGTATTTGGTTTACGTGTCTTTGCAAACTCACAAACTCACGCGACGGAAGTAACTGTCATAATTGTGTTTGAATATCGGTTTTGAAGCATTTTAAGATACAGATATTCGTACAGTTCAATCAATATCGTTTCTCTGGATAATAATAACGATAATTTGAAGCAGCAGGTTTCAGGTAAAGAATAACGAACCCCTTCTTCCCCTTTTTTAAAGTTTGCACAAGGACGGCATTAGCATCGATGAGACATATGTCAACATTCAGCATACTGGATCAGTGGATTGGTTGTTTCCCGCCATTTCCACGAGCGCCTGTAAGATCAACATCATGTACTTTCCATATGATATCCAGGAATGCAATCTCACTTACTATCCATGGTCATTGGTCAACTCACAGGTATGTAGGACAACATTTCGTTTTCAGAAATGACAATGAATGAGAGATAGTTCAAAACATATGGAAGGTTGGGAGTTCATAATGACAAATTTTTCCTATTCGCCCATTTGTACGTAACATTAATATTGAAACATTACAAAAAGACATCGGAATTTTGTAAAACTCAACTCACCCCTGTCCCTCCATTTAGTTCGGGAATTGTTTCACCATGGTAATATTCATGGCTTGACGAAGAATATATTAAGGTGAGAAATGCCGGGGGGGGGGGGTTAGATTTGATTTTTGTCAAATAGTAGGCATATATATCTAAAAGCGCAAAGAAATGTTGTTTCGTAGTTATTCCGTCATGAGCGCCAAGCAAGCTACCTGAGCACAGTGACACTTGTATATAAAGACCGCTCAAGGCAGATACGAAATGAGGTCTCTACAAGCCGGTGGCCATTAATCTACGGGGTAAGTTGATACACGTTTCGACAAGAAACGCTCTTCAGTGGAAAAAAAAGTGAGGTGTTTACAGCCAGGTGGTGTTTCCATGAATCCATGACAATTAATACAGTTGCCCCGTTGACATTTGCTCCGACGACAATTGCATCACCGATATTTGCTCCCTCTTGCTCTGCCGACAATTGCTCCACTTGAAGCGATAAATACTCCGGTGACAACGACACTTGCTCCTCCTACAGTTGCTCCTTCGACATTTGCTCCGACGAAAGTTGGTCCTCAAATAAAGAAAATTGGCCCGTAGAAGACAAATGCACTTTTGGATCAGAGAGCAATTTTTTTCGGGCAGCATTTGTCTTTTACGGGGCACTCCAGATACGTCGGCGGAGCGTTTATCTTCAACGGGGTACATGTACTTTGGGGGAGTAGCAATTATTGTCGTAGTAGCATTAATTGTATTTTACGGGGCACTTCTTGGGCGGAGAAAACGTCGTCGGAGCAAATGTCGGCGGAGCAAGTGTCGTAGGAGCAAATATCGGCGGAGTAACTGTCGTCGGAGAGGAATGTCGACAAAGCAATTGTCGGCGGAGAAACTGTCGGCGGAGCATTTGACGTTGGAGCAAATGTCGTGGAGCAAATTTAGCGAAGAAATTGTCGCTTTTTTGAAGAGCATTTGTCTCCAGAGCAATCGTCACCGGAGCATGTGTCGGGCTACCCTTTCAATATATATAGGGGGGGGGGTTCTTAAGTAGGTTTTACTGTAGTATAACATTATTACTTCCATTCCTTTCATCCATTACCAAACAAGATGCGGCTTTTCGCACTGACCGACGACGATGCCCTCCAGGAGCGGTACGTCCGCAACGGCATATGGAGACTGACCAGATTCCTACCATCCAACGACAGCGTCCAGTATAAGTGCTGTCAGGACCCTTTCGACCGCGTGGTCTACACGCTGACCTTCGCACGGGAAACTGCATTCTTCAGCACAAACATCGTGATCCCTGCGGTGTTCCTGACAATCTTGATGTTGATCGGTTTCTGGTTACACCCGGACTCCGGGGAGAAGATCACCTTCACAGTCACCAACCTTCTGGCACTCATCCTCTTCCAACAGCTGGTTGCAGAGTTCATGCCACCCATCGGCGAGCCCAGGTCCATTATCGGTGAGTCATTAAAGGGAGTGGGTAGTCAGTTTCCATGTGCAGAAGGCCATAATTCGCTGACACCAGACTTGGTGGAAATACCATTAATGGGAGTACAAATCTGCACACAGCAAAACCCGTTGGCCAGTCAAAAATTCCCCCTAATCTCTCGGAGAATACTCGACAATTCGTCACGTGACGATGATAGAAATGATTGGAACTTTTCATTGAGTTAAAAATGCCTGTTGAACATGAGGTGTCATTAGGGAGTTTTAGATTTGCGTGGACAGATACGTTTGACGTCTATTCAAGGCAGTGCATTAAAAGGACGTCGATCGTAGCATTGACCTAACGTCTTCGTGCGAATCTAAAAGTAGCCTGACTGCTGACCGTGTCAACAACTGGTGGTGTTTTTTGACGCAACATTGTGAGGGCGACATTGGAACGGGTTATGATTCTAAAGTCTAAACGAACAGAGCAAAACGGACAGCGCAAAAATGAACGCCAGGCGCTTCACAAAAGCATTCATCGTCATCAGTGCACATAATTAGGGACTTTTAGATTTGCACACCAGAGAACGTGGACTGCCCTTTTAAGGCAACGTGACGTCCTTTTAAGGCACTGGCAGTGACGTCACATTGTCTTAAAAGGGCAGTCCACGTTCTCCGTCGTGCAAATCTAAAAGTCCCTTTTATTGCGTTGAGTTGCTCGTCCAAGGTATGAGCTATTTGTCTTCATAGGTTCAATTAGTGGATACAAGCGCCTAATCATGGTAATATTAATGCAATCGACTCGACGTGTCGTATGCAGGGGGCATTGAAAAAGAAGTATTCGGTGCTAGATTCCCGTGGTATCACAATTACTGTATTTCCATCGCTCTTATGAATCATTGCAACTGAATGAAAAGAAAATCCGTATAACAGAAGTAAGAATAATTGGTTCAATGTATACCATTAGAGTAATCCAACGCTTGTATGTGCTCTAATGATTAGTATTTAATTCCATTGTTCATCTTTTCTCCAGTGACGTGTTTCTTCATCTTGATCACCCTGAGTGTGTGTTCCGTGATCCTAACCGTGATCGTACTCCATGTCTACCACAAGGACGTCGTCTCTCGACCTCCATCGTGGGCCTTCTGGCTTCTAAGGATCTTCATCCATAGTAACGCAGAAGGGAAAATGAGGTAAAGACACAAATTCACGTTGGAGGAGGGGGAGGGGGGGTGACGGTAACTCTTTCTTTAAAAAAAGTAAGAATCATAGTTTCCAAAAATCAGGGAAAACTTGATCGCTTTATCATGAAATTTCGCCGAAAGCTCGGATTATACTAATATCAAGTATATGGTTAGTTCTTTGTATCCTAAGAAAAGGCATTTTCTTAAAGTAATCACCATTCGAATCCTCACATTATTTCCATGCTTGAACACTGTCTTTTAATTTTCTTCTTAGCGATTACTACAAATATCTCGAGGCCAAGCAATGCGAAAGGAGGTATTCCACTATCCAATACATCTGTGACACAGTCCAGCTTGCAACCGTCTTAGACAACAAACCGCCATCATCATCCGATTCGGCTGGGGAGTCGTCCTCACTCCGAGAGGGTTCTATCGACTTTAAGGCTTTAAAGATGAGGAGCCCGATGGAATTGACCAATGGTTTCATGTGGAAGCAGCTAGCTCACGGTATTGATAGAGCCTTTGGTACCATCTTGAGTGCCTGTATGCTTGGGTGTGGCATATACGCGGTCGTTTCGTTTAGCCAGGCTCCAAAAGGATAGACATTTTCTATTAATTACAGGTTGCAATACATTGATTATTTCCCAAAGCATTCCGAAGAAGTTAGATGAATAAATTGAACAAAAAATAGAAAAAGAAAGAACAAAAAATACCACATTGTACATAATTACACAAATCATGTTTGTATAACCAGAAATTCTATATTAACATCCATCTTCTAAATTTAGAGAGGTACATTCTTTCCTAGATTATTTTGTTACTGACCTAAAATGAGACGATTCTAAATATGGTATCTTTTGTTTCATGATCTTGCCCTTGAAAATAAGGTCTCCATAAATTATAAAAATGGACACAATCCGGCTCAGTACCCCAACGGATTCATCGGAATCGTTTGTTGTCCCTGTGTAAGCAAATATGAACAACAACACTAGTGTTTTACCTTGATTTATACGGATATCGTCATTTTTGATAAAGGGAAAATCCCCTTCCAAAGCTTTGTGCCACCTGTTTGGAGGTCGACCGATGCTCCGGTTCGCTGTGAAGACGTACAGTCTACTGACATCTACGGTAGCTAACGTCATATGTTCTGCCTTGTACATCATGACTATAATATTATTCGTTTCTCACAGCAGTTCACATGTTTAGTCTGATTTAAAACTCGGTTACACCTATTCAGACCAAGATCATAAATAATAAATGTATCAATAAAAAATAATGAAGTCATTACATGCGCTTGCATTCATCCTCATCTTTTATTTATCTATTGAATTTATTTATCTTTTATTAGTTTATTTATCTATTTCATTTATTTCAGTTAATTTGTTTTATTCTTTTGTTATCTATGTTACGCGATTCCAGTATGACCGAATATCATAAAGCATTGTAGGCCAAAGTATTCATGCTGTCACAAAGGGAATATGCTATAGTTATAATGCGTATTCTTTAAATTTCCTTAAAATAATAATCAAATCGGCTGGGCAAGTATATGAATGTAAATTTGTCATTAAGTTTAGATATAATAAATTTGTAAAGGGGGAAATATCAAAAAAACACAAATGGTTGTACATGATGTTATATGGTTTAAGTTGTTTATTTTGTTTAAATTGTCTCAGAATACAATTATTTATCATACGATGACATCTACTCTTTTTATCTAAATCGTTTCATGTATATATTTTGTTTTTCTAAGTCGAAATGTAGTTTAATTAATAGTGGTTTATATTGAATATATTATCGTATCTGTATCGAATACCTTGATTGATTGTTTCACGCATAATGTACACATCATAAATTCACATTGTTATGACCATGATTTATCATAATAATACTAATTTCACGATAAGATAACTGTTTGTATTCTTCGCCTCCTGTGGCATCAAAAAGAAGGAGCAAAAAAGAAAACAAAAAGAAACGGCAGTACCACTAAATATTGTTTTCCCATCACCGCTTGCTCACTCTAATTTCATTTCTAAAATGTAAAATTGGTGCTAGAGCAAAAACGGCATATACCTGGCAAAACTTTATCTGTTACCCTCATGTACATGTACAGGTGTATATAATTTCGAGAGAATTATACATGTATTTTTTACTTTCAATCATCGTATTTTATCCTTAAGGCATGGCAGATATAGAAATGTATAACCATGACTGTTAGATTACATGTACTAAATTAAAAATATTGATAGTATTAATATTGGGTTCATTTATAGCGCCCATATCTGTCAGAAATATTTCCCCGGCTTCATCAAAACTGTCATTATGGCGCTCTAGCATTTCAAGGAATTAATTCCTACCAGGAATTATTCCCCCATGTGATTAACATCACCTGAGACGAGTGTGACAAATGTAGATGAATGTCTTGTCAAGGACATTAGTGCCACGATGGGAGTCGAACCGCAAGCCATGTGATATAGATTCCGGTGACATATCAACTTGACCACGAAACCTACACATAATTATTACTCTCTCCGATTTCGCCCTCTACCAATCCCTCTGCTTGTGTTTTTATAATAATAATATTCCGCTTTTATATAGCGCTTGATACATCACCGATGTGTTTAAGCGCTTCACCTATATCTTTCGGATTCGGGATTACCCACACACAGGGTATGCACATTATCCACACTCCCTGAAGAGCATTCTGGCCAGGCGCCATTTCACAAGCGCACACTTGCTCATCCAACTACATTAACTTTCGCATACTACCGGGTTTTTGGTTTTTGGTTTCATCTCCCCATTTCAAACTATCGCTTCCTTCCATTATATTCTTGTCGCATCATCATACATATCTGACAGATTGATCTTACATCTATTGTAATCGTGATAATGCTTAGACTAAACTACTAGTATGTGATTAATGGTGCTAGACAATGCCCATTTAGGCGTACATAAGATTTAGTTGGAAATACAATAATGAAAAATAGTATTTATGCGTACACGTGTTTGTATTATGAATTAATTTTATGGCATGATGATAATGTAAATACATCAAAGTTGTTTTAAGTTCCATGCTCTTTCACATTACAGGTACTCGCAGTCTCCCCTAGTAATGTGATTCTTTTAATACTACTGTGAATGGAATCCGCATTGGTCGCTATGTATAAAGCGTACGAACTTTAGTCCAGATTTAAGTCGGTCGACTTTAATAGTTCACCGTTTTACGTCAACCTCCCCATTGTATTAAAATGACCATAATGCTCTAACAGACGGACAAACATTACAGCGTTAAAATAATTTGCACAGAATAAAAGTCTTAAAACGTGGCACTCCATAAATCTTTTGCGAATAGGAGCCAAAAAAGTCGAATGGTAAATCAACATTATTAGTATGATCGTTCATTATAACATACACTGTACCTTACCATGTAGACTATAGGAGTATCTATTCGATATAGATAGCAGGCCTAAACTAAGAAAAAAGCAATGACTGAACCCGGTCGTTGTTTGAGAAAGGCAATTATCTCTGTATAATATTCATAGCTCATTAACCCTGTATAATTCATAGCGCTTCTCTGCCTCAAGTACTGGTAATGCACGAAGAGTCCAATTTCTGTTCTCATACATCATATCAATATTGATACCTTTTCAATCATCAATATCCCCTCAGGTAGTTAATACCCTGTGATTTCATGGAAAACGTTAGTAAATTTGCACGAAATTCTGCGCTTTTAATGGAATGGCAACGAAGCAATTAAATAAAAGTATATAAATAGGGCGGAATAAATCAAACGATGGCTTAGTTTATTCAAAAGTAAGCTAGGATTCTTTTTCAAAGTTGATTGCATGGATTCGAAGAGGTCGCGGTTTATAAAAGGCTCATAGTTTTCTCATCCCACTGTGAATATTTCATTCTGTACAAATGTAGGGGAACGGTGAGTAAGATGAGTATGTACCGCGGATGGATTGAAATAATGGCACATAAGAATGGTGTAAAATAAAGAATATGCTGTAGTTCTACATAGATAAATTTGTATCTTGTCTTGAATATTAGCAACGAACGTTTGTGTTTCTTTATATGTTTGTGGAGTGGGCTCGTTTGGTGTATATTTGTCTCTCACTGACTATAATTTTGAAATAAGAGATTTATTAAATTTAATTGTTTTGTCGATAGTGTCATGAAAAAAAATCAAAGCAAAAAATAAATTTCCAAGATTGATCTCTGTAAAGATAAATTTCTGGTCATGCGATGACATTGTGAAAGAAACGTTGTGGAATCGATCAGAAAGGGTTGATCATCTAGCATATAAGTATTGGCGTGTACTGCAAGGTTCTGGAATCATCAAAATGATAAGAAATTTGGCCCAGTCATAGTAAAAAAATACAAGCACTGTACACAGAAAGATGGATACTAATAATAATAATAATAATAATAACAATATTTATAAAGCGCAACATATGGGACTACACAAACATGTGGCATAAAAATCCGTCCCGATTTGTTTACCATATTTAAAGAGCCATTTATCTGATGTTCTTCCACTCTTGCATGATAACAATGATAACGCTCACAAATTATTTTTCACCTCTTCCCAAAACTCAACCTTTCAGTCTTTAAAGGTAAAGACCGGTAGTGGTAAAATAGCGGTTCAAGGGTTTTGGTTGCAAAATATCCTTTCAACATTGTTTAGATATTGCCTTCGGAGGTAGTTAGATGACAATGCTTCAACCTAAATTCGCAAAAAAGCAGAAATATATGCCCAAATGTTCAATGTTGAAGTGCATTTGCGATATCTATCCAGGCCTGATCGATATGATTATTAGTAGGCGGTTTACCGGCAAAATTTGTATTATCACGTTTTAGTCATAACATATTTTTTCACATGATTGGTAATAAGAGCTTCCATTTCATTTTTTGAGAGGGAGGGGGGGGGGGCGTTTCTAAAACTGGTCTATACCTTCAAGCCAAATTCTAAAATACATCATAAATGCCTGTTTTCTCTGCGGAAATGATCAAACTACATTTAAATGCTCGCAAGATTTCCCTGACGGCTATTGACGACTTTATTAAGGGCAGCCCTCGGCTTCCTAAATGATGATTGTATATGTTTTACACAACCTGTTATAATAAAATACATTCCTTCATCAATTCAACAGCACTATCAAGTAGATTAGAATTTATGAAAATTCAAAGAAAATGAGACAGGTGCTGGAAAGGAATTACTTTGTCGTTAAAATATCGATTGCAACTTCATACATACAACGTTCTTATCCTTTTTCACATTTTCCTCAAATTCTCATCGATCTGTTTCTCATTTTTTTTCCTGGTTATTGTATTAAAGCCATTCAATATCAGGCTGGAATTCCCCCTCAATGATATAATCATGATAATCTGGAAATCAATGCCTTGGATGATTAGAAGTAATAGTTGGCGGGGGCATCGTTGGGTGTATCCGGAATGATTGATTGATTGAATTTTAATTGCAATTATATTTGGTAGGTCGATAAGAGAAGGTTACAATGATTTATGGATAATTCCTAAAAATGACATGCGTTGCCCGGGCCATGTTCAGGTACTCCCTCAGTCACACCGCCAAACCGACACCGCCAAACCGAACTATTAAGGAATTACATTGCCCCGAATGAGGAATCACGGAGTCGGTTTGGCGGTGTGACTCGGGTATTAGGCAACTGTTTGATCGGTGTGTAGTCGGTCTGGTGTCGGTGTTTTCGGTGTGACTGGAGTATTACACGAATGGCGGAACAATTAAGTTCGAGAATAAAATTGCATTGGATGTAAGCGTGATAGACTTTTTCCCCTCGAAAAATCACGACTATGAAGATAATTGTATATTAGTTTCAGGCTGAGAGAACTTAGTTGATATCTACCACCAGTGCTTTG